CTCTAGCCCTGAGGGAAGGAAGGCATGTACTGGCATGGTCAGTGTGAAGTGCCTGCAAGAGTCCCAAGTCCAGTGTTTCTATCCTGAGCCTTCGATGGGTGTACCGGAGGAGAAGGGCAGAGGAGCCCAAGGGACACCCTCAACAGGGAGAACAGAGCAGGCAGGGTGTGGAAAAGCCAAGCTCACAGGAAGGAAATGCAACCACTGTAGACCACACGCATATCTTGGGGGCAGTGGGGAAGATGTATATCGGTCAAGGGACCAAATGGTGACCAAGAGGTCACTACAGGTATGGACGGTTCTCCTAAGACAATGAGGAGAGGACAAAATTGTTCCCATTTTTGGATTATATCACTCGACTTTGGAGTATGGCTGGAACTATCCAAGCTCAAGAGGTGATTCTTGCCATCATGGGGAGGACCAGGTGTGAGGAGAAGGGTAAACAGTTTAGGGGTGCCTGAATCACCTCCATTGACATGCTGGGCCTTATGCCATGGAAACAAGCAAGGCAAGGCTGCAGAGCCCTTGGTGGGTGTTAGTGAGACAGAGGTCACTGCAGAGCCAGCTGGTGACAGTCTGTGCCTGGCCAGGCCCCAAGGAATGAGGGGACATGTGTGTGTGTGGGGGGGGTTCCAGCAGTGGGTGGCACATGTGGGTGGACATAGGGAATGATGGGCACAGAGCTGGTGAATTTCAGCCCAGAGGTATGAAGTTAATTCCTCTCTGAGCTAGAAGTGGCTGAGTATATAAGGCAGAAAGGCCACAGGGAGGCAGATGCAGCACGATAGGCCCTGGCCCTCCCTGAGCACACCGTGATCCCAAAACATGGAAAACATGGTGGCACAGTCTCATTACGAGAGTAGAGGGTCTGAATTCCTCCTTACCTGGTTGAGTCTGCAGCATGAGGACAGTGTGAAAGCCACTGCCCAGATGAGTCCTGTCCCATCCCTTCACCCAGCGCCCACCCCAACTCTTCCTTCAGACCTCTACAGACCTCATAAGGTACTTGAGCCCTTCTGCCCAAATAGCCTGAGATGGCCCCAGACAGCAGGCACACCCACACAGAACCCAAGTCCACCTTGAGTGGTGACAGGCTTCAAAACCTTAATCTGGGGTAACAAATTCCTTCTTGGCAATGTCAACTAAGATACATGTGGCCACCCAGGTTACCGGGACCTTGCCCACCTGATAGCCAAGCTCCAGTCTATAGCCACTTCTCTAGGGCCACAATGTATGGACTGTGTCCAGCTGGCTGGGGCTCCATACACTTGGCTCTTAGTCCCCATAGGTTAACTCTTGGGAACCTCCTGAATTTCCATGCTGGAGTATCACTGTCCCACCAGGGGCTACCACTGGGTCACAAGAAATCCCTGATCCCCAATTTCTGGGAGCCAAGCTTCCACCAAGATCCATGACTAGAGTAGCTGCCCCTCCTTGTGGAAAGGGCCTCCTTCAAGCCCCCAGCCCCACATCCCTTTATCCTGTCTTCTGGCAGCTTCTCCCCACTCTGGCCTTATACAAAGTCCTAACAGGGAGGCAGACCCTATCTCTGCAGGGAAGGGGTGGAGATTACCACCTGGCAGGAAGCAAACTTGGGAAAGCTAGGAGGCTCCAATGGGCTCATTATCCTCTCTTTAATGTGCAGTCACTGTGCCCATGTATTGTTTAAGGTTCTACAAAATGAATGATGCTGGAGTGCAAGGGGTGGTGGTGGTGGTGTCGTCTTTCTCCCCCCTATCTAGTCTAAACAAACCTGCACTGTGGGACCGGGGTGACCAACAGCCCAAGGCAGAGTCTTGTGATGAGCTGCCCATCAGAACTAGAGCCTATGGTGACCCTCGGTACTTCAGTCCTGCCACTTGTGTGTCATGGTGCCACAGAGCATGTGTCATAACCAGGACTGCACCTGGAAGCTGCTGGTCCTGCTCTTTAAATCTAGAGGAACATGGTCAATGAATTTGATAGGAGGGGTCATCAGCCTCAGAGGAAGCATGGGCCTTTCCTGGAGAAAGGATGGGGACACCAGCTACACAGCCTTGCTTCTGTGACTAGCATGAGGTGTTGGACCACTAAGTCCCTGAGGCTTCCTCCAGCTCTGGGTAAAAACACCTAAGACTGGGTGAAGTACCAGGATACCAGCTAGCCACCTTCTGGTCTTGGCATCTTTCCTGCTAGTGCCCCCTAAACAGCCCTTCTCTAGGGAAAGTAGTCTTGGGCCCACTCTGCTAGAAGCCATACACTTGGGTGGCCTTATGAACCAGCTGATGGTACCCACAGGTCGACCACCACATATGCTCTTCCCACCATGTACACCTGCATTTCCACTGGCAAAAATAGGAAAGAAAGCAAATTTGGGGGATGGCCCCACAGTAGTCCTGGCAACCCAGTACTGGTTTGAATCACTGTCCAGTCTGGGCTTTGACTCAGCCACCTCAGCAAACAGAAACATGAGCTTCCTTCCAAGAGTGAGGAGGTCCAGGGATCCCAACAGGTCAGCACCATCTGGCTCTATGATGGTCTCCTCCCTACCCTACAAAGGCATAGCAGGGAGCTATGGGCCTGCAGCCAGCTGGCCAGTTTTTCCTGGCACAAGGACCTGGGTGTATGCAGTGGGGGACTTGGGCCTTCATCTTGGGAGGGATGATTGGCAGGCCTACTCCCTACTGGTCACCTGACACACCAAGAAACCATGATGCCAGGGTCCTCTCATCCCCTTGAAGGAAAGGCCAGTGTGTTCAATTTTCATTCTTATAATATAAAACCAAGAAAGTGAGACAAAATGTTAAACCATGTTAGTATGAGCTGGCTGAGTGAAATCTGGAAAAGTAGAATATTAATTTTTTCTTCTTATTCCTGAGACTGACTGCACCTTCCTAACCAGGACTGACAGGAGGCACCCTGGGGCTTTCAAACCACATTCCTATGGGGTCATTATGGTATTCAGCAGACTTTGCTGGGCAGCAGTCTAGCTCAAACACCTGCTCCCCAGATTTTTAGTCAGATAGTGGACATCAACCTTGGCCATGGGAAATCACACCCAACTCTGCATCAGTCCCCCAGCTATGCAGGGTTGCTAGGCCTCTGACCAAAGGGGAAAGGGTTTATCAAGGGCTGACCAGACTGTGCTGAGAAACTTCATGCTCTATTCACAAAAGAGAGCCATCTCATCCCTGGCTGAGCTGGCTGCCAGCTGGCTTGCTGGGGGAGCAGATTTGAGGTGGGGTGAGGGTCTGTTCCCCAAGCATGGTGTCCTGGCCAGCGAGTTCTCTGTGTAGCAGCCGACGCCTCCTGGACACATTTCCACAAAAACACTTCTTGAGCTTTTCCCTCCTGCATTCTTAAGGGCAAATTACTGAAGATCTCTCTCCTTTCTGGAGGTTATTTATGGCCCTAAGAATGGACAATTTCAGTTAGCCTCTGATATATTCTTCATTTGATAAATACTTCTCACACCCTCAGGTCCTGCCCACTGAGAATGAGTAGGGTCAGAGGAAATAAGTTCTCCCTGGAATGGGGGAAGGACTCAGAATGGAATAACTTGAGATCTGATGGGGTTCTGAGTCAGATGTCAGGCTGTCTTGGTGGAAGACAATGCAGCTAACCTGAAGATGTGCACCTGGAGGATCTGCGGCAGTGCAGAGGTACCTGGAGACCCACGGGCTGGGAGCTTGGTGAACAATGAGTGAAGGCGCCCTGTTCACCATCCAGCAGGGTCATTCAGAATTCTGCACTCAACCTGAGCCTTCAGGTAAACAGAATTCCAGACCTATTTGAAATTATGTCAGAGCTAGTTACATTCTTTTATCTGATCAAAAGCTTATAGGATTTCTGAAAGCTGTGTGAAGTTTTGCCAGGGCTTTTAGGCTGGATGGAAGATTCCCCATTTTGGTGTTGGCTGTATACTGGGGCCCAAAGCCTCATGACTAGAAATTGTGGGTAATGACAACTCACAAACAGAACTATAAAGAGCAATGCCACACTCAGAACTGCTTAAATACAGATTTATTGCAAACCAACACAGAGGAGCCGGAGCAGCTTTGCAGGCTGGACACCCCACTCTCCTGGGCCCCTGGACAAGGGGGACGAGTCACCCCATTTTCCTCAGACCTCAGCTGGTGGGATTTAGTGGCCAAACTGCGGCTGTCGTGTCTAAAAAGAGAAAATAGGCAGTGCGCCAGCTCCAGAGGCTAGACAGTCCAGCAGGAGCCCCAGCTTGGAGAATCATCCCCCAGCCTGGCTAGGAGTGAGCCAGGCCAGGAACAAGGATTGTGGGCCCAGAACCCACAACCACACTGTGTACCCAAGGACCAGACCAGGCTCCTGCCACACAGATAACACCCAACGCTGCCCATCTCAGCTACTCTTTCCTAAACACTGGTTTACTGTTTGTTAAAGAAGGGCAGGGACTGGGAAGAAATGCAACACAGAAAGTAAATCCAGGGAAAAGGAAGACAAGTCAGAGAAGTGAACAACTCAGTCTCCCAAACAATGAGGAACAGGGCTCACACACCTCATCCCTCCTGGAAGACTGTCCACAGGGAGGGGGGCAGGGAGGAGGCAGCCAACTCGGGAATCACAGATAGGATGGGAGACATGCACATTCATCCCGAGACCTCTTTTTTGTTAGGTATGGGACAGTGTTTTGCAAATCCTAGGACCTTGATGAAACTTCAGGAAAAAACAACAAAGGTTTCTTCAGAATCTCTTGAAGGTGAATCAGTTCTGCTTCCTGGAGTTCAAGATCTCTTCAGAAGGGGCCGCACTAGCTTGGTGACAATGTCAGACAGCAGAGCTCTCACATTTCAGAGGGGGCATTTGGGGTCCCCTGCTCTCCCTTGACAGTCAGTATGACATTTGTGGACCCATAGAATAGCTCCCAGAATGTACTTAAAAAAAAAAAATTATATATATATATATATATATATACATATATAAATAAAATTTGTTTTTTAGTTGTAGTTGGACACAATACATTTATTTTATTTATTTATTTTTATGTAGTACTGAGGATCGAACCCAGGGCCTCATATATGCTAGGTGAGTGCTCTACTGCTGAGCTACAACCTCAGCCCCAGGATGTACTTTTTATAAGGGCTGTCAGCCACCACTGTAAACCAGAAATCTAGCCCAAAATGACTACAACAAACTAGATCCTGTCTACACAGTTCAATGTGGAAGCCTTTGGAAGATGTCCCACCAACTTGTTCTCCTAGACAGTCCCTCTTGAGCATTTGCAGAGAGCTTGCAGGCCAGTGCTCTTTGCCAAGAGCAAGTTGCCCAGCATCTTTAGGCTTTGACTCCAGCTGGCCGTGGGTATAACCAGGGTACAAAGACTTGTGGTGTGACTTATTTTCATACACTGAGGCTGCCAGCTAGGTGAATGGACAGTGCTGGGCACTGATTATACCACATTCCTGGTAACAGGCAGAGAGAGTCCTGTAAGTACTTAGAGCACCTGGAGCTCAGCCCCTCAGTCAGGTCTTCATAACTTGGCTACAGTCAGTGCTGTGGCTCAAGGCATGGGCTTGGGGATACTGAGATGGTGCCCATTCCCTGGACAACAGGGGGGACAGACTAGGAGATCCAGGGAGCACAATCCAGTGCCTGGTATGAAGGTCTTCAATTTCTTGGGATCTGTCACAGTGGGACAGTGTGCCTTCGTGCCTGTATAGAAATTCCTCTTCCTGAGGCACCCGAGGTCAAGGCTGCTCAGGGTTATGGCTGACATGATCTGCCAATGAGCTGCTAGACCTGGTGTGGTCTCCTGAGGATGCCTGGTTCTTGCCCATGCTTTGACATAGCACACCCAAAGAGGTCACACAGGGAGCCAAGCAGAGTGTACCATGCAGTGGTGGCCAGGCTCAATTCACTTTAACAAGAAACAAAGCAAAGCAGCCGCAATCCGAGGGCAGACAGAATTCCCACTGCATCCGGGCCTGAGACCAGAACCCCAGACTTTCTCCCAACATCAAGAATGTGAAAATAGGACTGCAGTTTCTGCTGTTCTGCCTATGTGGCCGAGGCAAACAGAGCACATTTACAAATGGATGAGCAAGACTGCACGTGAACATACCTAATGAGGTCAAGGGGTACGGGTTTCCCACAGCGGCCCCAGCAGCAGCTCCACAGCTGTTCCCCACTTGCCTTCATGCAAGTGCTGCACCCCACACACTTCAACTTTGGCTTCGTCCAAGAGCCCAGCAACTCCCCACTCCCAACCAGAAGAAAAGCAAGCAGAATAGCATCAAAACAACAGCAAGCAGAGAGCAGAGGAGGAAAGAAATGCTGCCTGCAGTGGCTGGTTGCTGTGGAGACGAAGCATGTGCTCTCAGTTTACTGGGACGTGTCCCTCCTGCATTTCAAACACCTTCATTCAGCATTGGCCTCAGCGGCCACCAGGCAGCAGCTGGCCCCGCACCTTCTCTGGAACAGCCTGGAGGTGCAAGGTCAGGGTTGATGGCCTGGTTCACCCTTGAAAGAAAGGATGGCTAGGGGTGAATGAGCAAGTCCCTGGCACACAGGGAGCTGAGAGAGAGGGACAGCTGAGAACAAAGCCTCTGCCTCCCTGCTGGCGAGTTTCCTTTCCTTCTGGTCATTAAAACTGCACAGCCCCCGGGGAGATGTTGAACATGGCTGGGTCGAATCGCTGGCCTCGGAAGGGAGAGCCTTCAGCATCCCACCCCTTCTTCAGCATCTCATGGACTTTCTACAAACAGAAAATAGAGAGATTAAAGGGGATCACAAGGGACTGCATGCTTCCTCCCAGAGCAGATGGATTGCAGGAACAGAACTGCTTCCTCAGGGATTGGGAACTTGCCCCATAAGACAAACTGGCTGGAGGACCGTATACCCTCCAGCAGCTCAAGACCAACGGAGGCACTGGGTGACTGCCAATTCCTGTAAGACTGTGCTCCCCACAGACTGAATTTCTAATCCTCTCTTCTGTCTCCAGTAAAGCAATGACAGCGCTCTGTGGTTCACGTCTTCTTTCCCTTTCTACCAGGATTTCTGTCCAAATTCCAAACAGCCTACAGAGCCTAGAACCCCCACTAGGCATTTTCCCGTACCGCCTTCCCAAAGGAAAAAGTTCTTGTCATTGACAACTGCCATCATCAGACAATTCAAGGTTGACCCAAGATGTGGTGCAGGAGGAGAGACCTCAGAATGTCCAGTAGGGAATCCACCAGGCAAGAATGTCCCACTATTTCCTTGGGGACCTAGTCAGGGGTGACAGACTTAGCTCCTTTCTAGCACATGACCACTGCAGAACGCCTAGCCTCCAAGGGTCAGCAAGCAGACCATAGCAGTACGGCCGTAGTCAAGGGACATCAGGAAGGCTGTAACCCTGAGGGAGGCACCTGAGCCTAGGCTGGTGGGCCAGCCCTTCTCTAAGCATCTGTCCTCCTCACCTGGTCACTTCAAGTGTACCCACAGATGGGGATGATCTCTTCTTTCAACCACAAGAAATGAAGAGGCTGACGTGTATAGGGCCAGGGGTTATCCCACCAATGGAGTCTGTGGTTTCTGTTGCAGAAAGCCTGAAGAACAGGCCTAGAAGACAGATACACAACTCCAACAAAAATTCCTAGCATCTGGTAAAGCTTCTGGATTTTCCGTACCACAGCTTCTCCTTATAAAATAAAACCTTCCTGACAAGGGGGCTTTCTTTTTCCTAGTAGCAATGAGCATGTTGGATCCGTAACACATATTAGGGACTGATCAGTATTCTCAACTTCTTAGAGATAACTCAGATCAGAGCCAGACCACTTTAAGGCACTGCAGTGTGGTCAGAGCAATTAGCGCATACCAAGTGACAGGGGTGGCAAGGAGGACTTCAGGAAGCCCCTCTGCACAACCCTGATGGCCTGGCCAACAGGAAGCATGAAGCTGGATAGTCTCAACCAAACACAAGAATGGACCTGACATGCTAAGCAAGAGGCCACAGGAGGCCTCTATGCCTTAACAGAGCTGTAGTCAGCTGGAGGGTGAAGGGCAGCTAGAGGGCTAACAGTTACAGAGCCGTACAGCAGCCTCCTCTCACCCCAAGAGTCTGGAGGCTGTGTAGAGGCTCAATGTAGGAAGCCAGATGTAAGGAGTAGATTTTTAGACTTGATCTTAAAATTGTTGGAGCCCAGGGAGTCAGGATCAGTGTCCAGACCTTCCCTGGGGCAAAGGTGGAGAGTAGACATTCCTGTACGTCACCAAATTCACTCGTAGGTCCAGCCATCATATTAATGCTGGCATGTGCTTGTGCGATGTCAGTTACTGACTTTTAGGGTAAGTTCCACCCAGCTGGAGATATTCTAAATAGACACCTGAGTGCAGACTGAACACCTGTGCACTCCACCCTCCCTTTCTAGATGAGAAACCTGCTCAAAGAAATTAAACTGGGGAAAAAGATGAAGGGGAGTAAACTTGTTAATCTTGAGAAGAGGTGAATTCACAGTGACATCAAAAAATTTAAAGCAACAAAAGAAAAGTGTTATCATTTTGAAATTAAAATGCTTCAAAATACATAGCATCTGTGGCATTAGAAGCACAATTTGAAATCCTGGCAAATTTAGAAAACTCTGAGTTCACACCATAAATGGGCATCAATGCCAGAGCACGTTGGTAACTGTGACTACGCTGATGTGCGCAGCAGATGGAGGCTGACAGGAGAACCTGGCCCTATTTCCATTCTCTCTACTAGTGAGGCCTGATGATCCTAGCGCAGCGACCTTGACCACCCACCTGACTTTTTGGAGGGTCTTTCTGCCCATGAGGTACCCTGATAACAAAGAGTAAAGTGTGACTAAATTATATGAGGCCACATAAGGGTATGGACCTTTCTGGGTCTATTTCTTCATTTGATAAAAAAGGAGCTAAGGATATTTTATATGGAACCCATAGGTTGTCAGGGCCCCCATGAACTGAGGACCTTTCCCCAAGCTGTGCCAAGACCAGTGAGGAGCTGACACTTTGGCATTGGTGTCAGGCAGGTTGTGGGATACACATTCTTCTGAATGACAACAGTTCCAAGAAGGGGGTTCATTAAGACCCACAGCCTAGGGGCTTGAGGCTCTCTGGTCATCTAAGAGTAGGTCAGTCCTGGTGAGGAGTCACCCATGGGCTGCCAATCCTGGGCTGCTGAGGGTCTCCCAGGGTAGACCTTTGGGCAAGGTCATACAACCCCTCATGCTGCTTGGACCATGTTGCAAGTTCATGGCTGAATCAGTTTAGACTCAAAACACAGATCTATGCACTAGACTATAGTGTCCTTAAGGTTCTTCTTTGGATATTTCCTAACTGAGTTACTTTCCAACCCCTAAGCTCCCCAGTGCTGGTCACAATCAGTTGTCCAGCCGTCTATAGATGTAGCAAGCCATCTATGGCCCAATGCAGTGCTTTTTCCTCTATAGTACCCTGGAGTCCAGGGGGAGGCTGCATGTAAGTGCACAAATACATGGTGCACATGTATGGTATATGCTGCTGCTACTTCTTGCCCGGTGAAGCCTATCTGTTTTGGTAAAACTTCCCTGGAAGCTGCCTCAGTTTTCTAGGGATAAGCAGCAGATGATTGTGTTCCTAGTCCTGGGCAGTGGGCAGAATAGCAGTCACCAGAACAAGTAGCCCTCCGACCCCCCCTTCCCCCAACAGGACCCCAAGAATGAGAAAAACAGAGCATCCTTTTCCTGAAGAGGACCATCAATAAGACTGCAAAGCTGGACTGAACTAGTCTTTGGAGAGATCAGATTTAAGTGGCAGGACTCTCCAAGCTTTCAAGGCAGATCTGTGTCTGCCCTTGCTGAGGATGCAGAGACTAACACCATGTCCAGCTCATGTCAGCTCTCAAGGACAGTGACACTGGGCAAAGCCAGAGGACATCAGCACTGAGTGTAAAGAAGGGAAAGAGAGAATGAGCCAAAGGTCAAGAAGAAGGAAGGATACAGGGAGGGGAAAAAAGGAAACAGAGAACAAGAAGCCCCAATACTCCATGTAGATCCTGTACTATTGGCAACTCCCAGACAAATGACATTACTGGTATTTTGCAGACTACATCTGCAAGAGATGTAATCACAGGGACCTTGAGGGCAGAGATGCAAAAAGTTGTAGAACATTCTAGCTTATATCATATATCATAGTTAAGTCTACCAAGACCTCACTGAAGCTTGGCGCAAATATAGCTGAAGACACAATAAATTTAAATTTTTAGTGTTTCTCTGTAACAAAAACTTGATGTTGGCATCTGGGGAAGATGTGAGGATCTTGGGTCCTTGTCCTCTCTGTCCTGTGGCACAAATATATGCTTCTGAAGAATTCTCACTTTCTCAGCACAATGGGCATCTGCATGTATGCTCTCCAGTCAAAATAGTTTCTCTTTCCCGGGAAGTCAACCTCAGCCCTCTGAGTGCTGACCCCAGACACAGGATGGACTGGTCCTCAGGCCCTACCCACAGGGCAAAGGCTCACAGGCAAGGGCAGTGGCTAGATTAAATTACAACCACTTAGTTCTGGCTGTCCACATGATCTGAGATGATGCTGGGAGCTTTCTGTGACTTCTGTACCACAGAGACCCTGAAGAGATGTTGTTCAACCAAACTGTGCCCTAGGTGAAAAAGGGGGCCAAACCGAAAGGAACATTCTCTTCCACAGAGGAATGGGCTGAGCTGAGGGAGCCAGGTCCACAAGGACAGGAAGGTCTGAAATTAGATCTGGGGTCAAACCCTACCCAGGCTGCTTGAGCTGCCTAACCACATTCTGAGACCTTGAAAACTCAATCTTGGGGCTAGGGATAATGCTCCAGTTGGTAGAGTGCTTGCCGCACATGCACAAGGCCTTGGATTCAATCCCTGACACCACACCAAAAAAAAAAAAAAAGCAAGCAAGCAAGAAAGCTCAATTTTGCTTTTGTGGGTGGGGGAACCATCATTCCAGGAGTAGTGTGCAGAGCCTACAGCTAGCCAACCCACCCTACACATACATAGTATGTGCTCACTACATGCCCTGGTGTGGCAGGGCCTAGGAAGGAGAGGAAAGCAGCAAAACTTCCAGGCACCTCAACCTTATAGAGATAGGGACATATCTGTGAAGATAGGAAACAGTGTCTGACAAAGCAGCAGAGTATACAGAAGCCCCCAGTATGTATTGCCACCCCAAAAAGAAAGGGACAAACCACAAAGTGAGGCTTCTTCCAGAGACAAAGAAGAAAATATGAATCTGTGTGGCTTTTTGGACACTGACCCATGCCCAGCAGCTGACCCTTCCCTACTGATCCAAGGCTGTATTTGGTCCATGTGCATGCTGCTGTCCAAACCTACAGCACTGTATGGATAAACCCTGGAAGGTGACAATAGGAAAAGCAGCCTTTTCTTCCCTAAGGAGCTACCTGTAGGATTATTAAAATAAGGAAAAGTGAACATGTTTTTCTAATCAATCATTTTCTTTGATGGGTCGGACATGAACCAGCCTCCTGATCCCCCAATAGCTGCTGACCTCATACCTCCCCAGTCACAGCCCCAACATTCATTCACAATGAGTGAATTGCTAGCTACCTGTCTTATATCAGGCCCTCCATAGTCAGAAACCAGGCTGGCCCTACAGGCTGGCTCTCCCCTCCTCCACTGAAGGGCCCATGGAGCTCTAGGCAAGTTATGTGTGGATGAGGCACAGAGGTAAGAGCTGTCAACACTAGACATTTCTAGGCTCCAGTGTGGGCAGGGCACATTGCATAACATCCTTCCAGGTCCTGCCTCCTGGGCTCTTGGCTTGGATATGAGAATGTGGCTGGAATACCAGTGTGTACCAATCCTTAGGCAGGGAACAGGTGATAAAAGCAGGTAAGATGGGGCCCCTCCTGGGCCTCCTGAGCCAAGACTGGCAGGGCAGCTTGTGGTACAGCAGGCTGAAGCAAGGCTGGCCCATCCACCACCCTCCTCCCCACCACCAACACTGCCCACCCCTCTGCTGCTAAGCAGTCTTGTCACCAGGGCAAGGAAGACCATAGTGTGCATACCAGCTCATGGCTCTGAGGCTTGCCCTGTAGCTTCTGGTGGTAGTCAAAGGTGAGCCTGTCTAGGACTGCCTGCTCCTCCTCGTCCACAGTAGCCATGGAGCGCTCCTTGTTGATCTTGTCGATGTCAATGGGCTCCTCTCCCTCCAGGATGGCACTCCACCAGTACTCACCCACCTTGCTCAGGTTCACCTGGGACAAACAGGATAGAGAACTATATTAGGGATGGGAACTGACAGCCATAGGCCAGGTCTCCAAAGCTAGGGACAGAGCAGAGAGGCTGCTGAGAGACAGACATTTCAGGGTGAGACCAGGATCAACCATTCAAAGGAAGGCGCCATACAGGAAAGTGTGCCAGAACACTCTCAGGCACCTTTGAGCCCAAGAACATAATGGGAGCAAAGAGACCTACATCTTGCAGGTACCCCAGACCTTCACCACCAGGTCCCAGATCCTCAGAGTCAGAATGATGCCGACAATATATGCCCACTCTGTCCATATTCACAAGAGGATATTCTCTTAAGAGATACTCCTGGCCCATCTGGACCTTGTCCTGGTCCACCCTAGCCTGCCACAATCTTGCCATGAAAAGCCTATCTGCAGTGGGCAGTGGTGCATGCCTGTAATCCCAGTGACTCAGGAGACTGAGAAAGAAGGATTGCAAGTTCAAGGCCAGCTTCAGCAACTTAGCAAGCTACTGTCTCAAAACAAACAAACAAACAAAACAAAACAATTCAAAAAAATATATATATATATGTAAACTAAAAATTTTTTAAAAAGGGCTGGGGATGTAGCTTAGTTGTAAAGTGCCTCTGGATTCAATCCCCAGTAATCTCCCTGCCTCACCCCCACAAAAAAAGTGCCTCTCCAGGTCTTTACTGCCTATTTGGATCTTGTCCCTGCCCAACTCTTATAAACTACCTCCTACCTCAATGATCTTTCTTGCTTCCAAGAGTTTTCTGCCATCTCTTGATGTTCTTCCTTGCTCCCTCACTGCAGTTTCACTTGGCTTTTGAGTTTATGTTATTATGAGAACACCAGTCTCCTGCCATGTTTAGGTGACTGGGATTATAAGATGAAGAGCTTGGCCTAATGTACGACAGAATCTCCCAGGGCCCCCTCACTCTCCAACATGGGGCCCACGTGCCCATCTCCATTCCCTCCCTAGAGCTGGGCTTGCTTTCTGTGGGAGTTCTCCAGCTCCACAGACGGAGATGGCTCTGGGAGAAGAAGCCCCATTAGGAGTGCCCCAAACCTGGTCCATGCCAATTTGGGCACCTCTCCAGGAAAGCCCAGACTCACCCAGCCTCACGGTACAGTCCTTAGTGTTGAGATCTGCAAAACTCATTACAGAAACACAAAGCCGAGCGGGACTAAAGCAAGGGAGCAAGGAATTAGCCGTGTACCATAGTTTGTGCCCAAGGGCACCTGCTGCTCAGTCTGCCACGGAGACAAATGGCAAGGCCCCAGATCCACAGAGACAAACAGAAAAGAGCCAGGACACACTATCCCCTGAGGTCAGTAGTCATAGGGATGCACAGGGAGTGGGCAAACTGGCTGTATCCCTCATGGTCAGTAGCTGGGTTCATAAAAAAATTCTTACTAGAGAAACCATGAAGGAACAAGTGGATTTTTCCCCACCTTGTCCTGTGACTCCAGTGGGATGAAACTGTTTAATCCTCACAGAAGGGAGAAAAGGTGGCAAGGACTGCCAAGTGAGGGTAGCTCTTCTCACAGACGAGCATCTAACAGAACCACTGACCAGGGGTGAAAGCCACACTCTAGGCAATCATGACAGATGGCCAAGAGTATCCACAGAAGGTGCCACCTATTTGATCAGAGATGTTGTGCGCCCCATAGGGAGCATGGTAGTCCTAATAAGGTCCCTCTACCTCCCACCTTTGAGCCCCTGCTGACCAAACCCACCCACACCATGCTGGGCACTTGGCCCTGCAGACCTCTGGACTAACTCCCCATAAACTCCTTCTCTTATATAAGAGGGTGAGGTGGAAGGGGCTGTAGAACACACACAGAAGGGAAAGTTTTTCAGAGCTAGGAAAATCAACACAAAAACCTGCAATCATGACATGAGGTCAGCATCTCAAAAACCTCCACTCCTGGCTCCCAGAGCAGAGGGGGAGTAAAGAAAAGGGGAGATTGCATATGCCACCAGATGACAGCTTCACTAATAAATGATTCCTGTTCTGCAATGCCCAATTTAAATTCAGGATGAAACTTCCAATCCAGATACTCCATTGAGCTGACCTATTGCTAACTTCAGTTTGTACCTCCAGAGACTCCAGGCTGAGAACTCTGCCCCATCTTTAATGAGCAGAAAGCATAAAAAACAAACAAACAAACAAACAAAAAACCCTCTCAGGTGGGAAATACACTGTTTCCTGTTTCAGAGATTTTTGAGGCACTTATAAAACTGTAAATTCTGAAAAGATTTTTAAAGTTTTTACTATTATTTTCTTTAGTAATTATCATTACTGAGAACTACACAACATACTATTAGAATTCAGAAGCCCTGTAACATGCACACTATTATCCCTATTTAGTAAGGGCAAACCCTCCAAATCCCAGGTATGCCAACAGCCCACTAATAGCATCCTGAGGTCGGCTGGTTGACACAGCAAGTCTGGGGGCCCCATTGCTGCTGTTGGGCCTTTATACACTGCAAGACCAGACGCAGGACTACAGACATGCCTGACTTCAGTGAGCACAGTAGGAGATGAACTGAAGATAATTCACTGGTCTGCCCAAGAAGAGGGAGAGGGCATATTTTAGGAAGGGGGCTCATTCTGTCTGTTCAGCAGAAGGGAGAGGACTCACCACCATGTCCTTGTGTCCACACATGCATTAGCAAACCCAACAAAAATTGAGATGAGCCTTGTACTTTTTTTCATCAGAAATGTTTGATCTGTATTTAGATTTCATAAAATTTATAATTAAGAGCAGATTCATATGCTCATGTTGTTTCAAAAATACTTAAAAGTTTTCCAATGACTATATCAAGTAGATTTTAAAATAAAATTCATTTAAGTAAAAACATCCAGTTCCTCCAACATGTCCAGGGCATACCTGGCCACCACAAGTAGCCAGGTATACTGGATGGTAGGGTCTTGAAGATTGCCACCTTGCTGTCTGATGCCTCTCATGGGTACCATTGATATATCTTGAAATGAGATGTGAGTTTCACTTTGTAAAAATATTCTTTTTAAAAAATACATGTTTTTTTTAGTTGTCAGTGGACCTTCATTTTATTTATATGTGGTGCTGAGAATCGAACCCAGTGCCTCACACATGCTAGACAAGCGCTCTAACACTGAGCTATGACCCCAGCCTTAAAAATATACTTTTAAATTAAGGTGAAGTTTAATAAAACATAAAATTTTATTCATAGGCAAATGATTCAGTAGCATTTAACACATTCACTAGAGGGTGCAACCATCACCTTTATCTTCAAAATATTTTCATAAAAAGAAGCCCTGTACTCATTAGTGGTCGCTCCTTACTTCACCCTAATCCTTCCCTTAAGCACCTTTCCCCCTACCTCTGGCAACTGCGAATGATTTGTCTTTATAGGATTTACCTATTCTGGACATTTCACACAAACGAAATCCTACAATATTTGTCTTTGTGTCTGGGTTATTTCACCTAATCCTTAAGGTTGATCCATCAGAACTACACTCCATTTCAGGTTGAATAATATTCCATTCCATGGATACAACACATTCTACTTATCTGTTCATTTGTTGCTGGACACTTGAGCTGTCTCTACCTTTTGGTTATTGTGAATAATGGTGCTGAGAACATTTCCGTACATTTACCTAGGAATGGAACTGCTGAGTGATATGGTAATTCTACATTTAACCTTTTGAGAAACCACCAGATTGTTTTCCACAGAGGCTGTACCATTTTACATTCCCACAAGCAGGCACAAGGGTTCCAACTTCTCTACATCCTCGCTGACACCTGCTATTTTTGTTATTACAGCCATTCTTAAGTGTGTGACTGGCACCACTTGTCCTTTACCCTGACTGCATGTAAACATGCCTGCTCCTCTGCCTTCAGTAGACCTCTCATCACTGTAGAGGCCTGAGCTCCTTCAGTGCTGAAGCAGCAAACAGGACCTGAGGTTCTTATAAAGGCCCAGAAGACCAATGTCTCACTTCCAAAATTTTAGTAAATATTTATTTAGCACTTTTAGATTAATCTCCTAGTACTCTATTATTTAAGAATAATCAAACTAGTAAAAAGAGTAAGATTAATGGCATTATTAACATGATAATTATCCTCAATGAGTTCATTCTAACATTCTTCTTCACTTCATTAGTCTGTCTTCCTCCACACTGGTCCCTTGAAGAATTCACCTCTCATTCTGGCCCATAACCCCCAAATGTAGGTCCCCATCTGCTTTTCTTTAAATGGCCCCATGCCCCAAAAGTCTTAGAGCTGACTAGTTTCTTTACGCTCGGAATCTCCTTACATTCTGCATAACTGCTCTTGTTTCCCATATTTAAATACTTTCCTTGGAAGGTACTTCTAGGAGGCCTCAGATCTAAATCTTGGGGCATTTAATCTTCAAAACTACTCAAGGGTTCAGAGTACACAGATCTTTCAAAGCCATCTCTGATACCTGGGCCAGAATGGGGGGCGGGGCAGAGGGGTCAAAAGGACAGAGGAGAAATGTTCCCAGAATGGACTTCACAGGTCCCTAGCTAAGGACAACACCCTTGGACAAGTAGTCTGATGATTTGCTTAGTATTTGACTTGTTTTAACATTTTGTGACTTTTTATAACAAGTCACTATTGTGGCGGTATAGTGTGCACACAGTAACTCACCACTTGATATTACATCTCCCTGAGCCACTGTAAACCCCTATACCCTAGGCACCCTATTCCCCTTCACCTCAGCCTATGACGTTCATCTTGTGTCCATCTTGTCAGTGTTCAGAATGCCATTACAAAGAATCATATAGCTTACAGCCTTGTGTCTGTACTTCCTTCCCTGAGTATGTAGGCTTTGACATCTGGCCAGACTATTTCATGATGCAGGTGACCACACATCTGTCCATGTTCATGTGGGTGTTCCCAGGGTTTGGCAATTAGATAAGAAGCTGCTGTGAAAAAATCTGCATGCTTCCATTTTTCCTTGGTTGGCACCAAGAGTGCAGTGTCAGGCTGTG